CGATGTTATAAAAGAATCCCTATCTTTTATAAGAATAAAGTACATTTCGTGGATACACTTTCACGAAGAACCTATTTCTGGGATACCGCAGTCCCATGTGGATCAGAAAACAGCCACAATGTAGTACAACTAAACCCTGATGAAAATAAATATTATCTTCTCACTCCATATCCCACATTAATGCAATCACTCAAAAAATTTTCACCAGAAAGCATTCGCGCTATTGCTCGAAACCCAAATATAGACTTACAATCAATAGGAATCTATTCAAAATCAGATATTCAACATCACATTAGAACACAACAATTCCAAGAATTATTAACACAAATGGACACTATACAAAGACAATCAATAGACCAAAATTTACGCAAACTTGCAGAAACCGCAGGATTTGCCGATATCTACACGCAAGACTATAGCGGATATTTTAAAGACATTAAAGATTATATATATCTAAACGGTGAAAAATACCGTCCCCAAGATATATCACCAATTAACATTTTTAGCTTTGTTACACTCAAAAATGAGATCCTCGATTTTCTAGGATGGCCCTACTACATCTTAGAAAAATTGACTATTTTATACGCAATGTTTAACTTTATTGGATTTCTTTTCTCACTTTTAAAAGGAATCTACAACACATGTGCTATACACACACAAGTAAACAGACAAGCAAGCGTAGCACGCATACTCTTTGCAGGATTTTTTGGAATATTTTCTACATCTATAAACAAAATTCTTTTAGACGCACAAATAAAAGAATATAACACAAAAATAGCAACACGACAAAATACATACGACGAAGAACATAACAATGTAGACATAACGCCAACGGCACCACAATTACCACCCCTACCAAATAACCATCCACTATCCCTAGTCCCACGAAATTTTCGAAATTTAGCCATCACACATAATCCAAATTTTCGACTCAATACATCACAAAGTCCCATCCAACATATAATGACACACCAGTCACAAGATGATAATACTTATGAACAAATTATTGAACAACCCCATACCACCGCTTTTCAGTCTCAAAATAATCATTTTTTTAGCCCACGATGAGCCGCCAACTTGGATCACTACACCGATCAAATTCCCACCCAACCAATCTTACCTCTCCAATCCCAATAATACCACTTTTTGCTTTTCCGCCACCCGATTTTTCACCTAGTAATGTAACATCAGGCATGAATTCCGACACTAATTCACACATCTCAGTTTTATATTCCATCTCACAACTCAATAACCCGAATATTGAAACCCCCGATGAATTCGCCGACTCAGAACCATCCCCATCCAATAATTTCCATAACTCTTCTAATTTTTCTCAACCCCCTTTTCAACCCATATTATCCAATAACCCTGACCCAATCACTCCCACACCCTCTTATGCTTCCCAAGTTACCCCAACCTACTCCTCATACCATTCTGACCAATCCTCTCATTCTCCAGACACCCCCCGAATCTCCCCAGAGCTAGATAATTTTATTACCCTTCAACAACAACCCTACCACCTTAATACCCCAACCATAAACCAAATCTCCTCCACAATAAATTCATCCAACCCCCCTACCCCTACACCCTCTTCAAATTATACTGAATCATTAGCACCATCATCCACATCAACTGAATCTTCACTCAACACTAATAGAGCTTACCGCACTTTTAAAAGAAAGTTCCCCAACCATCCTTTCCCAGCAAAACCAGGAACAGCCCGTGAATACATCAACCACCCCAAGCATACTAACACAAAAGAATTTTTAGCCATCACCTTACCCTCATTCCCACAATACACCTTAAACACCCCCCACGACACTAACGAAACACGCAACTTTGTAGATGAATATGTTTTAATGCCCACTCTCTCTTGGACCTCATATTATCATTTTACTAATCCTCTTTGCTTACCTTTATCTAACACTCACATCGATATAGAGCGAAATACGGACATGCTATATCGACTCACTACACCACTAACCGCTAGACAATTTACTTACGTTGGATATAAAAAATCACTAAAAACACACACTGCACCTAGAGCTAACGAATATACACTCGAATACTATGATCACAACATCATCAGAGCTAACCAAGATCAATTCTTAGACGACGATCGCTTCGCTAATCCACAAATTACCGAGAAATTTTTCATCAAGACACCATATATATTTACACTAAACATCTTCGACCGAAAGTTTGATCACATTATTTCAGAAGCACTAACAGACACACAAGCATACGAAAGTTTTAAAGAACGCTTCCAAATATTTTCACTAACCTTTCATTTCCTTGCACCACACGAAAGAGATTTACACTGCTCACACGATATTATGTTGCGCACTAAACAAACCCACACATATAGTTATTATCGCTTCATCCAAAATCACTTTGACCTACACACACCCTCTAGACAACCACACCATCGTTTTCAATTCCTTAATTCCAAATACACTTCACCATTTTTCCTAAATTTCACATATTGCATTAAAGATACTAACCTTCATGGTATTCTTCGCAATTATGATCCCATAACCCAAATGTACATCTTCTGTCCCATCACCAAGACCTTCAACGCCGAAGAATCCCGACCCTTCCTTATCCCGCACGAGTTTGTACAACCTATAGAAATCCCAATTTTAGAATTCATCCACAACACTAAATTCAATCACAAATTATATAATCTAATCCAAAACACACCTTATGAGTTTGCAGTTGGCACTGAAGAACTAACCACCATTAAGGCACTTCAATTGCTTTGGCCACTGCTTCAGACTAAAAATATCATCCGCATCTTAGCTAAACTACTAACAACTTCAGAACTAATTCACGACATCTTCCCCCACGGTTTTTTCCCCGACGACTAACAGGTAAGTATGAATTGAATGAATATAACTAACTAATTGAAATATTAAAAAACTCACCATACTTTATCCATGTTTTCCTTAGATTTTTAGCCTTCATCCGACGATCACCTACAAAAACCACAAAAAACAAATAAAGATCGCAAATTTCATCAAACAGACTTCAACAATTCTATTAATCTCTTACACTTATAAATTTATAAATTTAATACCAATGCAGTAAATTCATTTCTAAAATTTTCCCCACAAGCAGTAAATCTAATTATAATGAAAATTTGTAACTTAAAATTCCCCCATAACTAGCAGTAAATTTCCAAATTCTATGCAGTAAATTAATAAAATGCAATTGCAGTACTAACCTTTTGATATTTTCATTCATTCGCACAGAAATTCTATCCACACTCGCACAGCTCGCCCACGAAGAATTGTTTAAAATAATGAATTTCAGTTTCAAGTTTTCACACTCAACAACTCTAACATATAATAACATGTTTCAAACTTTCCTTTAACCCGGTTGGAAAGGAATCATATACTAAACAAAACTAACCAACGCAGCTTACTAAATACCACAAATCATAGAATAACAGCATGACTAAGAAAAGGAAACCAACGGTACCCAAACCGGATTAACCCAGTTTAAAACTGGATAATTTATTCTTTTGAAGACTATTATAAAGTCTAAGAAAGAAATAATAAAACACAAAAAAGTCGAAAGACAAACCCATACCACGAACAATTTACTTTTTGGAAAAAGGACATAACCAACAAGACATAAGAAAAACCACAACAAACCCAACATAAAACGTTGTCACATAACAGGACCCCTCACAAAAACCGCATGAAATCATACTCCCACTCCTGGCCTAACCCACCAGGAAGGACGTCCTGAGCATGCTCTATAGCCGGCCTAACCCACCGCGCTACATCCACGCTTTGTGACCACACCTCTATTTTTAATAAGAGCTACTCAAGGGTGAGTAACTCTTCAAAATAACCGAACTAAAACAAAAAGCTTTTGTGAAAACAACTAAAATCATAATTAAAAAATATTAAACTAATAAATGTTTTATAAAATGTAAATTACATTTATGCAATACATAGATCAGAATACAACACCAAGAACGAACATCAAAAGACAAGACGACCCCACTACACTCGAGAGAGAATGACCAACTACAATCAATATGCCGCTCACAATCACAACTCAAAGGATTTAGAGTACGACTTGACCTCGCAGAAAAGGACTTCATTGAACTAGACCAATGACCACCTCGATGACCCAAGTGTACGTACAGATCCGAGTAACCAGGCATCCCCTCCACGCACAATCTCCACGCCATTCCCAAGCTAGATCAGACACAAAAGAAGTTCTCCCCGAAGAACAGAAAAACCTGACATAGCCAACCATTCTGAAATCAGATTTGAGTTTGTTGCGAAGACTTAGTCGTTGTCACAAGAAGAACACAACGTCTTATGTCTCTAACTCCAGCTTCCTGGAACTTCCCTAACAAAAGAGGAAACGGAAGAAAATTATGATGTTCGCCAAAAACAAACGTCCATCATCCATCCTTCGAATTGCAGAAGAACTATTCTAAAAAACTCTGTAAAACCCGGATGGGTGGAACCTGATCTAAACTACATTTTATGATTGGATAAATTAAATGTTTTACCAATGTAAAGTATTTAATATTAACCAATCATGATCCATCTAACTAACAACCCACTTATTTGTAAGTGCTGAAGTTACTTGTAATTTCAGCACCAGAGAGATTTGAATTTAACTTAGAAATTAGTTGGACTCTCCCGAGCACTTCAGCAGCCGCAATAAACCAGTATACCCTAGATCTATTGAGCCTAGCAGAGACTAGTTAAACAACCTGAGACTAGATAGTATAAGAGTAAGATTAGGATCGGTATTAGACTAAGAAGTTGCACGAATCTATCCGGCCGAAAATAAGATAGCGTGACGAGCAGACGGTGTACCCTATCCGAAATTACTCTATGAGTTAACCACATCGGTCCTAACTCAAAATCCTCCCGTGCTCCGAGGCATCATCTCATTGTCTTCAAAAAACGAAATCCAGCTTTTTCTACATCAAACGAAACCATCAAACAAAAACAAAAACTGCTTACTGAGTTGGGCGAATAGGTGAGAATGTAGGGCAAATCGACCCATTCAGTCGGAGATAAAGAGGAGGAGGCCCCCCCTTGACAGAGAGGTTCTTTTCCAATTAAACCCCTACTTTTTTTGAAATTAAAACACATCCTCGGAAATATACTTTCTTCAAAAACGCTGGCGTCTCAAGCACCGTAAATTTTGAACCATTTTTTGGATTTTGAAATTATTATGTGGGGTCAATAAAACTGGAAAAGAACCAACTGCAGAAAGCGAAAAAGATCGCTACTCGAATAAATAGTTTGAGGACTTTGAGCAACATCGGGTACATTATAATAAAATAGGATTTCTATGAATAGCACTGCGGCAGCAGAATTTTGGCGAAACTACGGAAACAAGTTACTTTTGTTAATATATTCTTGTATTAATAATTCATATCAGACGATGAGCAAATTGCACAATTTTGTTCAAATTATTCACAGGTGCTGCTTTTTTTTAGATATTTAGATTTGTGAATCTTTCGTTATTTTCTTTCAACGAACTTAGTTGCACAAATGCGCACTTCTTGAAACTTGCAGGGCAATATTTACATAAACAAGAATAAATTGAGAAGGTCCAAAAAGTTTGCATAGATGATGCAAATAAGAAAACTCAATGTGTGGAAAAAGTTTTGTTTAAATTTTTGAGCAGAGTTTTAATCTAAAGGCAGATTTAAACCAAAAACATTTGTGAAAAAAAACTTATCTTTGACTCTTTTTTATGATTTCAAAACTCGTTTCGTTCTTTTTGATTAATCAATCTTAAGGTAGAAATTAATCGCTTAGCTTTCTGGCTAAAAATCGATTATGTTGAAAAATTGTTTTCCAAGTTGATTTCATATAAACTCTATAATTATTGCAAATTTGGACCAAGAAATCGATTATATTGGAACCTGATCTAAACTACATTTTATAATTGGATAAATTGGATATTTTACCACTGTAAAATATTTAATATTAACCAATCATAATCCATCTAATTAACAACCCACTTATTTGTAAGTGCTGAAATTACTTGTAATTTCAGCACCAGAGAGATTTGAAATTAACTTAGAAATTAGTTACCTCTCCAAGAGAACTTCAGCAGCCGCAATAAACCAGTATACCCTAGATCTATTGAGCCTAGCAGAGACTAGTTAAACACCCTGAGACTAGTAAGTATAAGAGTAAGATTAGGATCGGTATTAGACTAAGAAGTTGCACGAATCTATCCGGCCGAAAATAAGATAGCGTGACGAGCAGACGGTGTACCCTATCCTAAATTACTCTATGAGTTAACCACATCAGTCATAACTCATCTGGTGCTACCATAATTCTCGAATAAGACCTTAATAGCTTAGAATTAACCAAATATAGATTAGAATTTAGACAAAACTTTTTCAAAATGTTACACGATAATAATTTATTTGAAATGTCTCTACGACTCAATAGATCAGAGCCGATATTCCGAACGATACTAGAACTACCCGGAATTGGAGGAAGACCTCGGACAAAAGACGACAGACAACAAAGTAGAAACTTACCATTTAGTTTTATGGTTGTACGGCAAAAGCAAACACAAACTTTTGTATTTAGAATCTTATTAGCAATGAATTTAGATTTTCATTTGCAAACATAAAACTTTGAAGTAAACCTTCATGATCATTTCAGGCGCTAAACAAAATTATTAATGTACAATAACGATTGATAAAAAGATCTCAGATCGTTTTCTTTATTTCTGCATTATTATATAAAACAAATTTGAAAAATATTTATTGAAAATAAAAATAAAAATAAGTAGCATGACAATAAATTGTTAGTAATCATAAATCATACTGTTGTTCCAGCTTCATCACCTAAACATAACAGCAATCATAAGCTCACTAATATCATTGATGAACTAAACCTTTTTCTTAAATAAACTTAAACCATTTTAAACTTAAATTCACTTAATTTTAAAAATCAGATCATCAAGGCTTATCCTTGGATCTTAATAAATTTTCTATTTCACGAAAATTAAAACCTGATCATCAAGGCCTATCCTTAGATCAGAAAGAACAATTTTGTTCTCCCCCACCCACTTAGAAAGTGTCTAACGACCTCAAACAACGATTCACTATCCAACCCTTCCGAAAGACCCAGGACCAATAGAAAATTTTCAATAAAACTAACCATTCAAATTAAGATAAACAGTGAAGAACTTCGGTTATTCATCCTTCACTTGAACCCTCCTCTTACCAGACCCAGGATTGATCTTAGACTTAGTAAGTTTAAAATAGTATCTAACGAACTACTTGCGTTCTAATTATACCTGAACCTTGTGGATCGATTTACTATTCTCCAACCCTTGAACACAATCACTACCCCTAAGTAAGATTAAGTAAGTTAACACCTTAGATTAGACTAGCCACGAGAAAGTAAAAAATCATTCTTCGGAATCGATATACTTTTCTCTCCAACCCTGAACAAAAAGACCTAGGTTAAGCTAACCAAAAAATCGTAAGGACTAACAGTCTAAGGAAATAGAAATAACTAACAACTTCTTGCATCCCTCATCCTAAACCTCATGTCATTCACAAATTTAGGAAATAAACAAACAATCGTTTCACACAACTGTCAAATAGATAACAAAAAATACGATCTTGTAATCACACCTCATACACAAACAGTTGGATACATTAGAACAAAACGACAAACAATAAAAAGAAAAATTATAAACAAACAAAGACAAATCACACAAAAAAGATTTTCAAAAAATAGAAACGCATTTTCTGAATCAGAAGCTAGCAGTGCAGCAGTTTAGATGAACTCTACAAATTAAAAGAATCAATATATAAAAATTGTCCCATCCATGATCAATTATATTTTTCCGACTCAGAAACAACTTCAAATTCATCAAAAAGAGGAAAAGAAGAATAAAAAAGCAAAACAAACACAAACCAGTACACTTGTATAATTGGAATCAACCAATTAGACACATCGATAGTTATATATCAACAGTCATCAAACGAAAAAATGAGCCACACTCAAAGTGACGATAGTCCAGATATGAAGCAGTTTATCCCTTTCTTATAGATTCACTCCATGATAGAGGACAACACGATTTTTGCAAGAACTTACTCGTAAATTTGTTTGAACCAGGAATCAGCCCATGCAAAGCAGAATTCCCAGATGTAAAAATCAAAAGACAAATTTTTGAACATTATTTGAAAGACATATGTAATCTAACACAACAATATGGAATCTACACCATAGAATTTAGCACACCAAAACATCAAAGACACATTAATCAAGTGCAGACAAATGAAGAAACAACATCAGACCCTCCAGGTATTGATGAAACAGGAAAAACGAACTACAACTAAATCATATAAATTGTGGATCATCAGATACAGAAAGTGATACAGAAAATACGATCTCTGTAAATATGATAACAGTCAAAAACGACTATGAACCTATCATATATGAACAACCTTTTACATCACATATATATGAAAATCAATTGGAACTCCTTCACAATTATTATATTGGACCCAATCATACTACACAAACTACACAAGAAGTAAACGAAATTAACACGGTAATTAAACCCCATGAAAAAGATGAAACACAATGCTCAAACACAAAACATATTTATCAAAATATAAAGAAAAAACAACCCAGAGAAAAAATTTGGACATTTCCATTTCTCTTAGAAAGCCCAAGAAACAAAGAATTTCAACCACCAGATCTTGAAATTGATTTTTTAATTGATTCAGGAGCAAAATCAAATATAATTAATATTCCCACATGGAATGAAATCAAAACATTACATCCAAAATTAACGCCTCTTGCAACCTCTAGTAAACTAGCAACAGCACAAGGATCAACATTAGTAAATTATGGAAAAATCCAATTATTCCTTCTCCCCACGAGAACAGTGGAGCAAAACAAAATTTTAAACAAACCGTTTAAACAAATATTTCATATTACTGATATTAAGCACAATATCATTGGCATACCATTTATGTCTAAAAATAGACCAACAATCAACATCTTAAATAGTAAAATACTAATCAAAGATAAGTACACAAAAACAAAAAATACAGCCCTAACATTCTTCCAAAGAATAAACAAACAACCATCATTCTTCTCAAAATTTTACCCAATTTACAATCAACAACGGAAACAACTAAAACCACTACCAGGAAATATACAAAATTTTTCAATAAAACAAGTTCACCAGTATGATAAAAGTCAAAATAAACAACAACTTTTTATGTCAGACTTTGAATTTAAACCTAATCACAAATTTTTCAAAATCACGATCTCATCCATCAAATATTTGAAAAACACGAAATCCGACATCATTTCATTACACGTGTAAAACAATACCCCATATCAAGTAACATTACCCTTAGGACTTTTAGGATATTGTGAAACAAATGCTACAATTTCACCCATTAATGAACTAGCCTACCGCGTAAAATAATATACTCCAATTATTAGATTTTGCCAATCCACAATTCTTGACGAAGAATTATCCAAAAATAATATTGTAAGTAATGAAAAAAGAAACACAGATTACTTCACAAAAACACCATATTTTAAACCAACATTCAAAATAACAAATTACACAAAAGAACAACAAAAACTTTTAACAATGTTTAATTTTGAACCTTCACAAAATACACAAACCAAATTTGATAAATTAGCAAAGCAACTGTTAAAATATTCAACAGTCTACGCAACATCAAAATTTGACGTTGGAAAAATCAGTTCATCACTACATCTCCCGTTAAAACCCGACGCAGGTTTCAAAAAACAAAGAGCCAGTAAAGTACCAATTCACTTACACGACAAAGTAAATAGATTACTTGATATTTAAGAACAATACAAATTTATCTCACCAGTAAATAAAGATGAACAACCAAAAGGTAACACTTTTATCAACCCTGTTATCATTCTAGCAAAAAGTGAATCATTAAAAATAGTTTTAGACGCTAGATATCTCAATTCACTAATTGATGAATCAAAATGCAATTGGCCTATTGAACCAATACAGGTTATCTTAACAAAGAGAAATGGAAAATACTTTACAACCGCAGATATGAATAGTGCATACAACCAAATGCCACTAGATGAACAATCACGACGTTTAACACAATTTGTTATTGGAAATCAACAATATGAATTTAATCGCTTATTCTATGGAGTATCCATAGGACCAGCAGCTTTTTCAGCTTTTATGAGTAAAATTTTTAGACCACTAATACTCAAGAAAAATGCAATTACCTATTTAGACGATGTTTTTATGCAATCACAAACCAAAGAAGAAATGTTTACAATTTTAGAACAGTATCATAAAATACTTCAGACCGAAAATCTGAAGGCCGCTCCCGAAAAATCACACTTCTTTCTAACACCAGTTAAATTTTTAGGACATAATTTTGAACGA